ATATCAACTAACATTTATATAACCAGGCGAGAAATTCAATTATAATTATGTTTTCCCTAGATATGAAGAGATTTTCAATATACGAGAAGATTGCTAACCAGGATTTGGTATCTAAATTGATTATATTAGCCTACCTAACTATTTTTCTTAAATTCTTGTAGTGTTTGTGTACAACAGTGATTCTTTTGTACTTTAATCGAAGACTAATTCAAATTCCAAATATAATACGTCCAGTTGTGTGCATCAGGTTCGATCTGTCTTTAATTTAACAACAATCCAACTACTTCTAAGCATCATAATTATTCACAATCATACTTGATGGATGATGTTTAAAACTCGTTTTATACACTAAACCATGTAGTGCCTTCAGTAAAGAGCGAAATATTTTGACTGGGGAACGGGTTGAGGAAGTCGCTACAGAAACAAGAGCTTTTTTGAACAGCTTAATCGGAACTAATCCGACCCAATTGACGTTTCTCTTTTTGTGCTTATTGCTCAAATCTGGTCATCACGATTGAGATATTCGAGAACAGTATAGTCACAGTTGTAGCTTACACAAATTACTTCAGTTTGTTGGATGCGATGACCCTCAACCACGAGTATATGCTTAGCTAGAAAGTGATAAACCGAGAGTATGAAGTAGCAATAACAGGTCAATGCTTGGTTTGGTAATGAATTGTATTTCTGTATTCGTACACAGAACATAGGAACGAATGTAACACACAAGCAAACCAACAATTGAATCAGAGGATCGGCATTTTCTTAATCGTTCATAGTGGATACAAACAATAAAAATGCACAGCAGGATTTCAATACAACAAACAACGTGAAGCCTGGTGTGCATCTCGTATCCACTAATTGAGAAGTGTTCATCATACTGATTGAATCAGGAATTTCTTGACATATTTCGTCCTTTAATTATGTTAGTAAAGCACTTATTGAGATGGCAAATGACAACTTAGGTATTGACTTACGTTTATAATTTGTATATTGCTCGGTCGTATTGATTTCGAAATGAGTTTCTTTGCATGTTCTCAGCGATACCAATAACAATGTTGACACTCCAGTGTTTTGCCGTTTAACTCAATGAGAGACCAATTCCCCATTTTTTCAGGAAGGGAAATGCTCGTTTTTTTTAATAGCCAACCATGATGCAAGTCGGTAGTTTAGACACACAGCTCTATAGCTAAATATTAAGTCTTCTAAGAAAGTTGAAGAACCGACTGCAATCAAATTAACTTTTCATCCAAAAGGCTTAACACCAATCTGTTAGTAACGAACTTGTAAGTTACAACTTCACTGTCATTTTTGCTAAGGAGTCGAAACTACTAGACGCAGCTTGGGTAATGTTCGTCAGAAAATGTCAGATCAACAGATGAGATGAACTGTGAACTATATCAGGTAAATTCAGTGGTGCAATAAAGAACGACTCACATGGTGGCAGATCTTAACAATGGATGAGGACTGGGCTGATTAGCACCATCGTCCAGATTTTTGAAGCTATTACATCCTGTACTAAAATAGTTTACCATCAAGCGCCTACTTTTATTGACCCAACATTTTGCTTAATTTGAGAGAAACGTACCACCCTTCTGACCAGAGTCACACCGAATTAAAACTAGTATAGTGATTTGTTCTTTACATTTCACCCGACAGACCAGGAGTTCATATGCTCCACTACTAAGCAACATCTTCACTTGAAGTCATATGAGCACACTGTTCTGCATCTAGAGGATTATACCACTATGAATTGCAATTCCTTCAGTCCCATCTTTCACTACCATTAGTCTCAGATACAACCATATTTCTGAGAGATCGATACTGCTGAAGGCCTTTCGGATCTGTTATATTATCGAATTTAGCCTGACTTATACTCCATTCTCATCTAACTTCGAATTGTGATTACATGAAATCTTTAGGACTACATACTTTATTTAAATAGACATGAATCTGATTGGGTCACAAAGAGCAGTCTTTTGACTCAATCTACAAGACAGTTTTCATATTATGTCAAGTGGGGAAACATTTCTTTCTATTAGAAGAGTTACACGTTCATAGTATACACAAATCTTAAGACAATTAGTCGGTAAATATAATCAAAATAAAGAGTGGAATCGAAGATTATGTAGAGAAATCAGACAATAAATATACCAGTGGTTTACATAATTCCTACTTTACTTGTTTTTGGAGATGGAAGAAACATGCAATTATTTTGATTTACGCACAAACAATGAGTAATAAGTACTAGTAGGTCAGGTGAGCTATCAATTTTAAGCTTTGAACAGAATCATTACTATAATTTTTACATTGATAGGGAAAATCTATAATGACTCAATGTGGCAGTTGATTGTTTTGTATAAAGTTTCTAGAGTGAAATATCTAACTCGATTATTGAAGGCGTTGAAATGAAATCTCGTCATTAAGTGAGACATTCAGGATTAAAGTTAAAATGCTATTCAGAATGGAAATCCTATAAATTTAGTTGACCCATATTTCTTCTTTGAAAATACATTGATATCACGCACATTGGTAAATGCAAGTAACTAATCTTCTGATCATCAGCCTGCGATGTGAAGCCAGACTGTTAATGTGAACGCAAAACTGACTCATTATTGGTTAGTGTAATAAAATCGCCAGTTGAAGCAAGCCTTTAGGTTATACGGTTATTAGATACAATACTCGGAGATTCAAGTGGAAATTAAACAAATTAGTAGTCAAATCCAGTCATTACTTTGATAATGAAACATGAAGTCGCATCCTAGGGAGTAAGGATGAAAATCCGGATACCGGATAAACATCGATTGACATCCTTAAATAGCTCAGGAGTCGATTAACCTGATGTTTAGAAGTCTAATTCTAGACTTCAAGGCATTTAGGAGTCTAATGACACGCTATTTATCCTTAACTAAATTGAACAGACCTAGTTATATGCATTATATACACTTTACATGGTAGTATTAATTTACGCTCATACGTACACACATGAGTAAATACTTCATATGGTTACGTCCTAATGTGCAAACACTAATAACGCCAACCAACAAACAAAACAACTTGCTTTCAGACTAAAAGTGACCTGATTTTTTTTACTTTTTTGTATAACGCTATCGATCCGTTTCCATGCTAAATATGTGGCCGCAACGATCCATACGAAAAGTATGACAGCATTAACCCGAAGCTACCTTTCTAGAATTAAAACAAGAAATACTATTTCATTAGAATAGAAACCAGCCCCAGACTACCGCATCCTTAATTTTTGCGGGATGAAGGTCGATCACCTGGAGACTTATTTACTATTACTGTAGATACGTTTCTACAATCTGACAACCGCCAATAACAGATGAGTCGTTGTTTAAAGAAACTAAGCAGGAGTAATAGAGTGCATGATATAATTAATTAACTGCATTCTCTCATGGTTGCACAAAAGTAATTTAATATTAACATAATTCAGCAGTGAAAACTAGCTAATCTATTCAGAGTGAGAAATTCTCTCGAAGAGATGACTATCCACGCATTTCAACAAATTAAGTCAGTTGAAAAAAAAACAATGTACCACTTTATAAGAATATATGTGTTCGTTTGAATAGCTTCTAAATTTAATTAGCTGTTTAACACTTGTAAGTGGGAAACTTAAGTTAGCAAACAATATGTCCCGAGCACTGTATATACAGTGGCCAGAGACAAACTACTCAATAGCCGTCACATGTAAACAAAGTGTCATCCATTCCCTCATAAGTGGACTGCAAGAAAATTACGTTGGTGTTAACAAACAGTAACTTGCAAACAAATAGAAATTTCGTCTGAGTTAGATTTCGGTCCTGCTTATTAGGTTTGCGATATTTTTCTCTCAAATAGATCGGTAACTGCCAACTGAGAAACACATTGATTATGTTCTAATCTACTTAGATGATCAGGATGTATTGGTCAGATAAGGTTGATTGATACAGTGGTGTTTATAAAAAAGCGATAGCTGCCACTGTTGACAGAGACAACCAAGATGGAATCAGCAGTCACACGAAAATAATTGTTATTTCAAGAAATTACACTTAGTTCAGGTGACACTGTCTACGCAAGATAGCTTGATCAAGATCATTTGAGAGCGTTTACAATTATTGGCAAAGTACTACTGTGCAATCTAATTAGGCTGCCTTGTCTTTCTTAACCCATCAGTGACGATCAACTAACCTGTTAACCAAACTGAAGTGCGAAGACCTAAGATTTGTTAGCTGAAAGTCAAACACTTTAATTAGTAAGTCACCACTAAGATTTCTGTTACCTAGGATTGCCTCACAGAGGGAAGCTGTGTTATTCAGTCTATAAGACGTTTAGATGGTTTCTAGTTCTCTTGAGAGTATGATCATAAATTACCCTCTTGCACAGCATGTATATAAACGTGAACAGAATTACCTTGTTATGTATATCTCTAGTTCCCCACCGTTGTTGCTATCTTGACGTGGTGGTCGGGCTTGCCAATCGTGACGAAGCAACCGAGCCATACTGGCTGGAACAACCGTTCCTCAAGGTCCTACCATGTCAGACAGTTCGGTTGAAGAGCGGTAAGACTAAAAGCAGCAAACCCAAGATCCGAAGGCGAAGTCGTACTGATGACTGTACAGAGGTGTGACAGCAGTAAGGCGTTTCCTTCAGACAACCAGCATGACAGCGATGCTGACTTCCCACAAGGAGGGGCGGGGTTAGAAAAGGTCGACCCTGAGAATGCACACCTCGCCTTATCCCACGGATATCCGTCTCCGGCGGTAAGGTCTCAACAAGTACGGAGCTAACGCAAAAATTACTCACAAAAAGGTTGTGTGACCGACCTCAAGCAGTTATCCCTTGCGCACTGCGTTCACGCTCTCAGGTCACTAAGACCGCCTCTAATCCAATTTCCTTTTCAGGTACCTTCAAAAGAACCCTTCAACGGTATCGGCAACCGGGAAGTGATAACCGCCCTCATAACTCTAACAGCACTCAAGACCACTGTATTCATAATCAACCTCCCTCTTCAATTCCTATTATTCCTCTCTAGTTGCTTTGTTACTGACCATACAAACAGATGAATCAGAATACAACCAACGCTGATTAATTACATTCGGGCTACAAATAACGGAAATATTATTTGGCGTTCTAAACCACTAGTCAACCAAACAGTGGTATGGAATGAAGTTGTTTGTTGAGATATAGCAGACGTATCTCAAATCCCACCAAATACTTGATAACCCAGGTTTTCTGATTTGTGATGTTCAGGACAATGGATCACACTGGTTATAACAGTATATGTTCAAAATACCTTGAGGCGATTCGAAGTACAGAAAAAGGTTAGGAACAAAAATATCCGTTTTATAACAAGTCCAAGTCGCTGGCTCTTTCCACAAGTAGTGTAACCCGGCTTTCTTGGTAGCAGTAGACTACATTGGCAAACAAATAAGGGTTAAAAAGTACGTTTCACAACAACGATAAGTAAAACACTCACTATATATCACACAAACAGCAGGTAATGGCATTGTAAAATGAAACAGTATTCATGGTCAGTACACTCTTTTGAGCCAAAACCGACTCATTAGATGTAACTGGAGAAGTAATAATAATTTATCTGAACCTGTGCCGCTACGTAAACCAAACAGAAATAAACAAGGCAACTTTCCGCTCCACTCTTGTGAATATACGAAGCATAACACATAGTAAGTAGGTGAGTCGCAATTATTTTGCAGACCGGATAAACTTGGAACAGAATTTAGTTATAAACTGGCTTTGTATATTTTGTTACAATCAACAGGCATGAATGCTGGATAACAAAGTTAAAAAGCCGACTGATTATAATAATTTATTCTTAATAAATATAAGTTACATGAGGCATGCCCTGTCTTAGTATCAAGACAAAAATAAATGGTAAGTATTTCCGTGGAATGGATTGTCTTGTTGGTAAACAAAAAGTATGATCGTTAAAGAAACAAGTAGTCAATAGAAGTAGCAATTTAAGGTCCTGAGGAAGAATTAGGAGGGGAATGTACGTTTTGGAGACCGGAAAATCAAGTTTAGACAATTCAGAGAACAGTGAGGATCAAATTAAATCACATTTCCTCCTCTTCTTCTTCGCTGAATTCAAGGCGGCTCGAGTAGCTGCTACAAAAACATCGCTGACACCTTCCTTGGTCTTAGCTAGAGAAAGCTAGACAATAAGTAAAGACAGTACCTGAACACTCATAGAAGGCATAAGCAGAAATCTTTTCAGCTACTTGTTTACCCTCATTAAAAGTGACGGGAAGTTGCTTGGTTCTATGAAGCTCATTCTTCGTAGCCTCATCATGTCGTAGGTCTTTTTTGTTTCCAACTAAGATAATGGGGACATCAGGACAAAAATGCCGGATCTATAATAGGATTTATGAACTCGTGGTATCTACTTCTGGTAACCATTTCTCCTCAATGTTTGCAAAACTATCGGGAGAATCAATACTATAACACAACAGAACTACATCCGTATCAGGATAAGAAAGTGGCCGTAACCTATCATAATCTTCTTGGCCAGCAGTGTCCCAAAGAGCTAATTCAACCTGCCACATATAATAAGTACATATACACCTACTTGTCTGTTATCAACTTCGATATCTGCAACATAGTTTTCGAATACAGTAGGGACATAAACTTCGGGAAACTGGTCTTTGCTGAATACAATAAGTAAACAAGTTTTTCCGCATGCACCATCTCCAACAATAACAAGTTTCTTGCGTACAGCACTCGCCATTGTTTCGGACCAAAACACCCGAACTGACCGCGAGTGCTCAATTTCGGTTTCAGTTTTGAGAGAGTATGAGGCTGTATGTTTTGGAGTTGTATCACACCTGAATATAGTGTTTGTTGTATAAGGAAGGTGAGTAGAATGAAGAATTCCATCATTTCAGTGGATGAAAATTGCTTTTGAAAGACTTTACCAATCACACATTGACTTCATGAATTAAGGTTAATATTATTCGTGTCAGTTTTCTCTCGCTTCTATTGCGGTGCTAACCTACAGTTGTCTGTGAGTGGAAAGTGTTGTCTCGAAACGTTTTGACGATATTTTTTAATAATGCCATGCTAGTTATGCAGTTTTTGGCAACATGTACTTTGGTACAGTGACAATAGTTCAGTTGGTGTCATTACCTTAAAACACCGACTTTGGTGACTCGGATATATGTTACAAATATTGTGCTTGTGAATTCTTTATCACGTATTGTATGCTTACGCTGTAACTGGGAAAAATAGGGAAGTGAGTAGTTTGTGACATGTTTCTTGGGTTTGGGTGAATTTTGTACTTGAATGGCTTCTGCCAGTCGATCACGATTACCCATTTTGGTGTCCTAGAATATGTGCAACACAGTGGCTTTGGAAATTATTGTACAGGACTCAGAACAAAGGACATTAGTAGTCCTACCCTAATCGTCTGTTACTTACTGAACAAAGGTTCGTGGGACCTTTTTGACTGACATGATTCTTCCCGCTTATATTTGTCTTGTTCGGATTGTTTATCCGATTATTTTTAAAACTCTCATTCACTTATTTTTATTCAATTGTCGTTTTATTAAATTGTGTTCACATTCCTTCATCTATCTCTTCACAAATTCAATTCCGTATTGTTTGTCGCATGACTATGTTGGTATCAATTTATACTAGTGTTTATGTTTAAGTAAATAGATATCCAACAATCAATTGTCCCATTATACTGCTAACTATCACAAAATAATAATCGTCGTAGCAATCTTATTGGAATATTGTATTCCAATAATGTATTCATTGATTTGCTGCATTTACGTTATCCATTTATAGAATTGTGAGACTAATACAAATGCAGTAGTGCCATGAAAGACAATAAACATCCTATAAACGTTGCATTTCATATATAGATATGTAAGGAACTGATAGGAAGTCGGAGTTCGTTTTCCTATACACACATCCAATTTTTTCATACGTTAAATTACACAGTATTCGTGTTAGTTATCTCTCACGTCTATTACTGTGCTGCGTGTAGCAGTAAATATATCCCCAAAATCAATAGTCTTCGACATTTGATGCTGATCTCAACTGTGTCAAAATGCAGTCCCTCTTTTGGAATCCTTAAGGCCAAAGGAGAATAGGAAGATCAAAGAGCACATTACGCCAAGAAATGGAGCCAGACATGGGGCGAATGAACAACATTTGCATAGAACTAGAAAGGAAGGCCCAGGACAGTGTGAGTTGGAGAATCCTGGTTGGCGGCCAATGCTCCAATGGGAGTAACAGACGTAAGGAAGTATGTAGGTGACATTAGTTTTAATGGACTCACTTAGCTGAAGGAACTCGGTTACGTATCCGCACCAGATCACGACTGGAAACGCTGTGCTCAACTTCTAATCCAGCCGCTAGTCAGTATAGATCAGCCACTTCTCGATATATTGATAACCTATCAAATATGTCTTTGAACCTCATCGCTCCTTCTTCTGACTTCACTGAGTGGGCACGATTCAACTACAGAAGGTTTCGCTGGCTAAAGTGTTGTCAAATTCCAAATACTTGTGGCACGTCATTGGTGATTCTGAAGTGATCTGGTATACCAACTCGGGAACTGTGAGTCTGTTTTTTATATATCACTTCTTTACTTTAATTTTTCATATTTTGTGATATTCTTTCGGATTTTTGAATATTCTTCCCTCCGTTCATTCCTGCACTTCATATTCCCCATGACAGAACAGATTATGACACCAACCATATTTCAGCTAACGTTTATTTGATCAGATAACATCGAAGCCTGGTTCTGCTAAGCTGAGGCTGACTTCTACGAGCTCGGCCTGACCGACCCACGTGCACAATTTCTCGCAGTAGTAAAGTTACTTCCGCGTGAATACACCAGTTACCTCACACCTAGTATCTAATTTTGGTCATCATTTCTCCTCAATGTTTGCAAAACTATCGGGAGAATCAATACTATAACACAACAGAACTACATCCGTATCAGGATAAGAAAGTGGCCGTAACCTATCATAATCTTCTTGGCCAGCAGTGTCCCAAAGAGCTAATTCAACCTGCCACATATAATAAGTACATATACACCTACTTGTCTGTTATCAACTTCGATATCTGCAACATAGTTTTCGAATACAGTAGGGACATAAACTTCGGGAAACTGGTCTTTGCTGAATACAATAAGTAAACAAGTTTTTCCGCATGCACCATCTCCAACAATAACAAGTTTCTTGCGTACAGCACTCGCCATTGTTTCGGACCAAAACACCCGAACTGACCGTGAGTGCAGAATTCCGGTTTCCATGACAGTTGTAAGCTTTGCTGTTAGTTGCCATTGCTACTCAGTAGACTGCTGATTTTCCATCAGCTTTACTCGGTGTTTGCGAATAAACTGTTATTACTCGCAATGTGGCGAAAGCCGACACTGGATATATCACCGCCCAACTCTTTTACGTAACAAACTCCGACTTGTAGATTCTCTATCTTCCGCATCGAATATAGACCTCAACTCCTATATGAGAAGGCTTACAAATACTATGAGGTCAGTCAAACCTGTTTCGGCTGGACTATGGTTAATTAGCTGCACTCGAAGCACCCTACGAGATTACTCATCACGAACCCATGTAACATACTACTTATAAGGTCAGGAATAACGATAGTATCAGTACTGATCGACTAAAGGTCGCTTACTTATAAGTAAACCCCTTTTATGTTCAGTTTCCCCCTGAACAATTGAATGATATAAGCCTTGTGATTACGAAGCCTTACATAATAATTAACGACCACAAAGAAACTTTGCTGACATCCTAAAAGCAGTTCTAAACGATGTGCTCTGGAAGAATATTGTGGTTTCTAGAACATTTGGACGTTTACCGCACACGGAAACTACAAATTTTCGTTCTGCTCGGTTAACGTATATAACAATCTTTTGGTTTCATTCTCAGTATCTTTAAACTGCTAAGCTGAAATGAAATAAATTGTTCTGTTTTCCAATATGATTTCATACGTAAGTATTTTAATAAAACATTCCATGTCAGAATTGTTCACTTTGTCACATAATTTATATGTACGGAACTATACGAAATCACTCCGGAGAGAAATCTATCAATCAGACTCTTGAACTAGGTTATATTTTTACTAAAACATGGCCTTTCTGGGATTCTGTTCCACGTGGTTGAATAGCAAAGAGAGAAGAAAGCCTGACGTAAATTTGTGTAGTTTCTCTCAGTCCACAGGATACTCCCCTTAATGCGCAGGTTGTGAGATGATATGATAGAGACGTAGTGGTGAATGTCTAAGAGTATGAAATATGAGCCGGTAGATAAAGACAAGTTTTGATTTAATGTGTCTGATCCTGAGAGGTGCTTACTTGAGTCGTTGATGTGTTTGATGATTATCCTTATTGTCGGAGTATCCCAAGAGAGCTCAAGCGAACCTTCTTTGACCAGGTTCGATTTCTTATTAAATTATTATATCTGCAATTAATGTTAACTAGAATACCATATGAGAGTATGGGTATGATACAGTTGTATATAGTAACAGTAATCTAGATCCGCTTTGATTAGAGTTTACCATTACGAATCACACTAGATTTTTTTGTTTTAGGCACTTGTGATGCAGTGCGCTCATAAAAGTTCAACGTTTTGTTGTACCTTGCACTCACGTAATGAACAATGTTGAGGGGTTTCAGTATATGATTAAGTAGAACCAGATTTAGGTTCGAGTTACCGTAAAACGCCACAAGTTATATTCATTTTTTTAAAGCAGCAAGATCCAGAGTGAACGATTTGGCTAAGTTCTTCTGACACAGATTTGAACCCAAATGGACACGCATCCCGTTTTTTCCTTAAACTCAAATTAATATTCCTCTAAATACTACAAGACCTGTTTAAATATGGTGGATATTATGCGAGCATTATTGGAAGTTGTGTATAATTGTATCTTTGGAGAAACCCAAAATGGTTTCTTCACAATACTTCTGTATACATCATCTGTTTGTGAATGGTGATAATAGTTCCCTTGCTGAGTTGCACGTCAATAAGATACCATTAGGTTAGGTATTCGACTCATTTAGGAAACAAGTGTCAATTTCACTCTCGGGAATAATTTCTGTACTTGAATGAGTACTTTGTGGGTCAATAGTATCAAATTTTACCTGAGCATTCATCAGTCTTAAAATATGAGTTTCAATTGCGCTGTCTAACTATGAATACACCTATTTAAATTCATCAGTGACTGGCTTCAGAATGAATTCCCTGGACTTCTAGTGAGAAGCTGTGGCCAGTGGAGTTCAACCGTGTCTGCCATGAGGCAATTACTTGCTACAGACAATGGTGGACGGTTGTGCAATATATTGGATTGGTGGAAGTTAGACATTAGCACCATTTGATGCCGGCTCAGCGGTCTGGAGGCTAAGCGTTCATGTGCGAGACCGAAGATCCTGGATTGGGGTCCCGTGTGCAACTCTATACTGCAAATCCAAATAATTTAAAGGGTCTTAGTTAACATCAAACAAGAAAATGTTTTTTGATGAGTAAAATAATCAAATTTTTTAATCTACTTAGATTTAAAAAGCTATACACCAGAGTTCATGATAATTATCATAATATAAAGAATCTGTTTATCAACTTCCTGAGACTTGGGAAATGTAAAACAATATCCCATATTCTCAGAAAGTGAATAAACTCCTTCATGTTATACTTCATTGACCTTTTCATTTCACACACTGTATGCACAGCTCGCCACGGTAAGTGATGTTGTTGAAGATATGACTTAAGGTACGCGGTCATTCTAGACTGCATTTCCAAGGCAAGGATCTG